ATGATGAGTAGCAGTTGAGCTAAGAAAAGCCTTAACTGGTTTCTAACCTACAATTAAGGGCACTTATCTTGTGTCAGGCCTCAAAAAAAAAAAAATATTTGAGACAAAAGAACACTGATTATCAATTAATGGTTGTGCATATTGGGACTAAACCACTATTATGGAAGTTAAAAGTGTCATCTCACCTAGCTTCTTGCGAAAGAAATGGATTAGTTCTAGTAAAAAGAGGATGTCCAGATTAAATGAATTCCTAGGCAATGTAACCATCATCCATTTTAGGGTCTGTGTCTTTTCTATGGTATGAAATAGAGACCGATCAAGGTTTATAGCACCTTCCATACTTAGGGTTTTACGTTGGAATGTGCATGGTGTGCATGTAGGCAGAATGCTGTTTGTCCGCTTATTAAATACCGCTTATAAGACGACAAAGCAGAAACAAAATTCAGTAAGTTTGGTTGGACATCTTTTGAGTTGCCATTTATGCATCAAGTTGATCAGCCGTTTTCCAGTAAGGTTAGTGATGGTTCAGGAAGATAATTTATGTTGCCATAAATGGATGTATACCTCTTTCTTTGACCCTCGTCAATGCTGTATCTTTGATTGGACAGTTTTACTAGAGGGGTATAATAGTGATATAACCTAATCCTTTAGACTACTCTCCATAGCATTATCTCCTTGTTAGGATGTTGTAATATGTAAAACTCCACCAATAATAGCAGGGGAAGTTGTAAAGAAACAAAGTCATCTTCAACAACTAAAAAACTGATTTTGCTGTAAATTTTATTGCTAATGTTGTTTTCATATGCTAAGGTTTGTCATTCTTTCCACCCACGGACTTTTTCCCAAAGAGGTATGCTGATTATTTGACGCTTCCTTTCTCTGTTCTTTTCTTTTATTTCTTAACTGTTTACTAACAATATTTGCATAAAACTTGTACAGAGGTGTAGTTGTTGAATGCTATGAGCCTGTAATGCTAATCGAGTCCAGCTTTTTGTACTACCCTAACAGTACTATCTTAGTATTGTATATCAATAAAAACTTACCTTATCAAAAAAAAAGTGCAGTTTTTGTCATTTGATAGTGGAACAGGACCTATAATCATTAATTAAATTGCATCTGGTAGGGGATACTATAATTGGAATGCTCTAAGTCTAAATAGTAACATGCATCTTCGGTATTGCACAAACCATTTTTCCTTTCATTAACTTTTTTATTAGTCTCATAGACATAAGAGTTGGAGAATGCAAAATGACCAGATCTACATGAGAAGTTGCAGTCCATTATTTCTTCCGGATTTTTCCTGTAATGTGGATCTGTATCCTTACCCCTCTGGAAGTATATCAGATTGATGAGCTTATCTGAAATGTTTGGATTTTTTCTGATTGGCTTTGTTACTGTTATCTGGCATTGTTACACATTTACGCTCCCAGTATAGCTCTCTAAATATGTTACTCTCTCTCTCTCTCTCTCACACACACACACACATCGTTTGGAGTAGTTCATTTTTCTGATTGTATGGTTTATCTACTAGTTCATTATTGACATACTACTACTTGTCAGGATAGAGATTTAATTAAAAAAGGAGTATTGAATATTCCTTGTTTTATTTCTCATTGCAAACAGGAGACAAGTATCTAAAGCCATATGTGACATCCGAGCCTGAGATTACCTTCACAAAAAGGGAAGCAGAGGATGAGTGCCTGATTCTTGCCAGTGATGGATTGTGGGACGTCATATCAACTGAAATGGCGTGTGAGGTGGCTAGAGAGTGTCTTCGAGAAGAAAATCCAACTGGAAACCATAGTTTCAGGCCTTGGGTCGAAGGTGATGGTGAAGGAGCAATATTTTCTTCCCAAAGTGCATCAGCAGCAGCGCTGCTTACTCGGCTTGCTCTGGGCCGTAATAGTTATGATAACATCAGTGTAATTGTGGTTGATTTGAAGAGAAATTATGCTGGACGATAGTTTCAGCACAAGGTAACTTCTTGAATTGAACTTATTGGATAGTATATCCAACCAAGGGGAACATTTAGAGATGGTTTATTAACCTTTTTTTTTTAAGACAATGATCAGTGCTTAAATTAATGACTTCTATTTGGTTCTTCTCTTCTTTTTCCATTATCAAGTGGTCTTCTAGATGATGAATGATGCGAACTCCATGTTTTCATTGCCATTGGGATTGGGTTTCCCAAATTAACACTCTACACCAGCTTTGATCCCGGTAGCACCTATGTGACTTGCAGATAGAATATATACTGGCATTTTTCCTTTATAATTCGTAGATGTAGAATTAACCCTTAGACATCAGGATCTTAGTGACAATCTATTGAACATTAAGGGGTGTGATGTAGACAGTCTACCCTAACGTAAGCGTTAGTTGTCACGACTCGAACCCGTGACCTATAGGTCACACAGAGACAACTTTATTGTTGCTCCAAAGTTCCCTTCATATAGTTTCATGTGTGAGAATCTTATTAAAATTACTTCAGTTTCCGCTGATTTTGTATTGTTGCATATGGAAAAGTACCTCGCGGGCACCAAGCTTGCACGGAATTTTGGATTTGGAATGCAGTAAAAGGCTAACCCAAAAATTGGTTGAATTTTCATTACTTCAGTATCCAAAATCCAAAGCCGTGCTTACTATAAGAATAAGGTTTCTTGAGGAATGGCAACCCATAATTTCTTTGATGATACTGTATGAAAAAATGCACGATCTGAAAATTACATGAAGATATCAATCTTTCATGAGAACAGTCAGAAATTGAACATAATTTCTCATTGTTAGATTAAAGAGGAAATATAACGGGACTAAACTTGATTGATAGTAGGAGTGGCAAACGGGCGGGTCGGGGGTTGGATATGGTTCGGGTTGAAAACGGGTAACGAAAATACGGATAAATTATTCGATCCCACCCATATTTAATACGGATAAAAAACAGGTTAACCGACGGATAATATGGTTTGATCACTTTTGGGAGAATTCCTAGTCTCCCAAACTTGAAGAATCCAATTTGAGGCTTTACAAATGTAAAAGTAAAACCCATTAGTTATCCATTGGTTATTCATTTTCTAAATGGATAATATAGTTCTTATCCATAGTTGATCCATTTTAAAAAAATTATCCAACTTATTTTTTAGTGGATAATATGAGTGATTAATTATTTTCTTTTAACCATTTTGCTACCCCTAATTAATAGTAACGAGACATTTTTAATTGTTAGGAGTATCGGTTAAGCTTATTAACATCATTTATCAGACAATTACTGCTACAGTAGTCGAATGGTGGCGCATTATCCAAACCTCCAAATACTAAGTACATCCAAATTTTGAACTTTGAGGTACATATATGGCGTAATCCCTCCATTCAACTGCGCTTTACGTAACTGTTTACTAACTGAGAAATGTAAAACTGTATAGGAATACGATAAACATATATCCTTATCAAATCCTGGTTACTGACTATGAATATCCCATTTTGATTAAATTTAATTTGGATTTGGTCCATGCTGCTAAATATTTGGAACGAAGGGGTATCCAATGAATGCTTCTAATGGTTAATAAGTCAAAGTACCGAGCTGCTCCGAATTTCATGTCTTAATCGAATCTGATTATAGTAGGATCCTTTTTTCTAATAAGCCGCCTTGAAGTAGGATCTAAATTATACTACTGTTTTGCAAATATTTTTTAAATATTTTGAATTTATTATAATATAGAATGTGTCCTGCATGTGACAGAGCCAGTTAGTCAGTTAGGTTGTTCTGATTGTTGAATCTGTTAATGTAAATTAAAGATAGATTAGTCATTTTGTATTCATTAGTTTTTCATTCTTCTTTTGTTCTGGTATATAACGATGGACAATAGAACAATGGCTTGTTTATTCCTCTCAATTCACCGACTCTCTCCAAATCCTTCTAGAACAATCCTCTATTGAAGCCCTTGGTTGTTCCTTGCATTTTAGCATGGTATCAGAGCTGCGAGCCTGAATCGCACCGTGCTAGATCTCTGATTCCTCTTCTTGCATTTCTGTCCTTGATTAATCGAAATTTGTTGAACCTTGTCAAATTTTGTCAATGTCGGAGACTGATTCATCAATGTCGGAGATGGCGACAATTGACCATAATCATCCGCTATATATTGGACTTCTGATACTCCTAGCTCAGTCGTGGTGCCTGTAAAGCTCACGGGCTCGAAGAATTATGGGCTATGGAGTAGGTCGATGAGAATTACACTTTTACGGAAGAAGAAATTAGGTTTTGTTAGTGGCACTTGTAGCAGGAATGTGTATGAAAGAGAACTGTTAGAACAGTGGGAGACTTGCAATGTCATTGTTCTCTCATGGATTATGAACAATGTGGCACCAGAACTTTTAGGTGGAGTCGTGTATACGTTTGATGCACACCTCGTGTGTGAAGATTTGTGAGAAAGGTTCAATAAGGTAAATCATGTTAGGATATTACATCGTGAAATTACCACATTATCTCAAGGAACTAGTTCTATTTCAGTGTATTTTTCAAAATTAAAGGAGTTATGGCATGAATATGATGTTTTGGTTCCATTTCCTATTGCTATGAGAAATCGAAAGATCGTGCAGAGAATCTGCATCAACAAAGAGTTATGCAATTCTTGTCTGGTTTGAATGAGTCATATGATCAAGCTAGAAGACAAATTTGGTTTGAACCTAAGATATTTGAAAAATACTCCAGGACAAGGAATTTTGATGAGGTCTGATTATGCAGAGACACTTACTTGTTGGTGTGACTTTAACTGGGCTGCATATCTAAATACAAGGAGATCAGTCACTGGTTATGTCATCAAGTTTGGAGGTTCAATGATCTCTTGGAAGTCGAAGAAATAATAGACTGTTTCAAGGAGTTCAGTAGAGGTAGAGTACAGAAGTGTGGCAACCAGCATTGCTGAAGTAACCTGGTTACTTGGTTTATTCAAGGAGTTGCGTGTGAGTATAGCTCAACCACTTACAGTTTTCAATGATAGCAAATCAGCTATTCAACTTGCAGCAAATCCTGTACTTCACAAGAGAACTAAGCATATAGAGATCGATTGCCATTTCATTCGGGACAAAATCAAGGAAAGAACAGTCAAAGCAGTGCATGTCAACACTAAGGAGGAACAAGCATATTTACTTACTAAAGGCTTTAGGGACTGCTCAGCAAGTTCACCTACTTGGCAAGCTTGGAGTGTTCAACGTGTTGCACCCTCCAGCTTGAGGGGGCATACTATAATATAACATGTTCCATGCATATGACAGAGTCATTTAGCCAGTTAGGTTGTTAGAATTATTTGAATCTGTTAATGTAAGTTAAGGGTAGATTAGTCATTTTGTATTCATTAGTTTTTCTTCTTCTTCTTTTGTTCCTGTATATAACGATGCAAAAGGCAATAGTATAGTGGCTTGTTCATTCCTCTCAATTCACTGACTCTCTCCAGATCCTTTTATAACAATCTTCCATTGAAGCTCTTGGTTGTTCCTTGCATTTTAGCAGAATTATTACTCTGTATGAATCTTTAATCATCAATTCTTGCATGAATATGGGTTGTGCTCGACATGTGGATTTACCTTAGCCCAAAGAGTATTACGTGACACCGCTTTGTCGTTTTTTTTTATTTATTAAATATGTATATGTAATAAAATGTAAAACCAAAAATGAATAAAAATAATGTAAGGTAACACCACTTGACATTGAAGTTTTGTAGCTCATCTAGTCAAGCCAGTTGGTTTTTGATAGAAGTCCGGGGTTCAAAACTCAAGCAGCTTCACTTTATGTCAAAAATTTTATGCCTCATCTACAAATAAAAAATGTGTTCATGGGGTTTGACCTATTGTCCTCTAAGGCATTGAAAGAGTTTTTTTTTTTTTTTTGGGAAAACTTATGCAAATGTCTCAAATAGTCTCAACTTACCAACCTCTAGCCATTAGTCATAGGTTTACCAAAATTAGTCAACTACATATAAAAATTGAAAAAACAAATAACTAAGGTTCTTTCTCTCAAAGAATCACATGGAAAAATCACCTTTCATATTTTTAAGCGTGATTAGCAACATTAGATGCAAAACAGAAAGGAAATTTCTTGGATGAGGTAGCAAATAAGGTAATGAAATACAAATATATATATATANAATATACAAAATTTGAGGAAGATTGGAGGTGATTTGGACTGGTTTTGTATCAAAATTCATAATTAAATCGAGTTCAAAAAATTCTTTCGCGACACATATATCAAACATCAATCATACATGTATCTCACACACATATATACATACATATACATATGATCCACAATTGATACAAATATGATACATATGTGATACACATATTATTTTTTTTCATGTTCAGTTTTTACTTTGAATTTTCAATTCAAACCACCTCAAAACTTCACAAAATCATTCCAAAACTGAGATTCAAGCTCCTTAAGATGTACCCAATATATTCTAATAACACCTACTCAAAAGAAAGCAAAATTTTAACCTTTTTTGCTACAAATAGCTAATTGGCTAATATTAGTAATATTTTATGAATTAGTCAATTTTTGTAATGAGCTACTTATAGGTGGACATAGATGAATATTTTTCTTTTTATTTTATTTATTATTCCCACAGTTAAAAGAGCATTGATCCAATAGGTCAAGAGTCATATTTGGATAATCTTAGCAATAAAAAATTACTTGATTTAGTTCTAAGTTGTTCGTTTTTTTGTTCTTTCTCGACATGAAATTAATTAAGAATGATTTATATGGTATCAAATGATTGTTATCACCTATATAAAATTGATTAAATTGTGACACCGCTTATAAAATTTTTTGTATACGCCACTGGCGCTCAAGAGGCTATGAATCGATTGGCAGGATGAATCATAACACTCATAATGATCGTCTTTACGAAAATTTCAATGGATTCCAGAAGCTCGTAGCATTGGTCCGACATAATTTCTAAACTTAAAAAGTTGGGAG